AATTACTAATATTATCTACTTATATTTCAAATTTGAAAGAAATCCGTTCGGTATTTATGGATTTATGACTGGGTAAGTTGAAGGTGAAGTTAGGTTTGCCTCTTGAGATCGCGCTTGAGTTCGCGCTTGAGTTCGCTGAAGTGTCGATCCGGTTACGCGTACTCAAAAATTGCACCGCACGGCTTTCAATACGAAAGCCATGTATACGCGATAATTACAGATGCAATAATGCCAAGCTCCAACTGGAAAGTTTTAAATGCTTCCTTGATCCATGAGCTGCGCACGGTAAAAAAGGGTTTGAGTTCGAATGCAGCATGCGGGGGATCTACCTCCCGCAACCCTTTGAGGCATAAGCGTTAGTCGTTGCCGCAGGCTAGCAAAGCGTCAATGCAGCGAGTGCACTCCCAATAGTGAAACACGACTGTAACCTAGATACGAATACGAGTGACCTATGCAGCTCACAAAATTCGTTGAATCGATTTATTTTCACCAATGTGGTATACGGTTTTAAACTAATTTAGTTGTATAGACTTATGAAAAAACGTTAAACAGGAAAAACTTATATTTAGAAGGCCTGTGACAGTGTTTCATTGATTCCAAATTTCAGTTCTGAAAGCCCACGAACCAGTGATATCTCCTACAATAGAAATGTTTAAATTCGGACTTATATCCTTGCGCGACCATTAGAAATAGTTCTTGTAGATATGCTCATAGTAGGAATTTCCAGACATCTCGACAGCTTAATTGAATACTGCATATAAACCTTTTGGCTGCCATCTCGTCTCGGTGTTGAGTATCGCGTACAAAGAGAACGTGTTCTAATTGCTCACAAAGCCTATTTGTGAGCAATTTGTTTGATTTTTTATTGTCACTCCAGGGCTTTAAAGTGCGATTGATGATTGGATTGCTTGAAAAGAACTTCATTTTAGAACTCAGTCAGTACCGCCAATGCAGCGGCCGATGATGAATATAGAAAGAACCTCATTTGTTGACTGTGGTGTAGTGTGAGCAGACGATTGCAGTTACATGCAAGTTGAATCAAGTTACATGCCCCAACTTAATTTTGTAAAGAGTATCACGCGCTTCTCAATTCTATTGTGTTGTCTTACTATGAAACCTTACAAAACCTCCCCTTACAAGATGCAAACAAGGCATGAACTAACAGACCGTCATGAACGAATGAGGCTCGAAAGATGCCAGCACATTCTGGATCTCATTGAGGATGGCACGCTGCCCAACTTGGTGTTCAGTGACGAGAAAAAATTTGACATTGAACAAAGCGTTAACCATATAGAATATATATATATATAGGTCATATAGAATAAATGTGTCTGAGAATCGTTTAGGTAATTCTTGGCTACTAGCTCATCCAATAAAAAACAATGCACCTAATTGTTTCATTGAGAAATAACAAAAAACATACGTTGCCATAAAAATGGCGGACCCTGTACAGGCACGTGATTTTACCGTTGAACAATTTACGAAGTTGTTAAATTTCTATTTAGAAAGAACGTCAACAAAATATACATGGTAAGATATAGATGATAAACAATTATATATGTCACAATTTCTAAATTTCTGTCTAACCCGTCAAAAATTTATCTACTGCCATATAGTTGATTAAATATTGGATTCGTCGATAGTGTATATATCTGGCTTGAGTATATAGAAGATCTAAGTTTTTAGAAAGCCATTGTTCCAAATGCTAGAAAAATATTTATTTCATTGGAAAATGCATAATACAACGAACAAAAACATCAAATAAATTAAAATACTCACGCTAGTGTCAATTAACACGCTCTTGAGCCGGTCGATGGCCTGGGGTACAGTGATGTTAACCTTCCTTAAGAATTCCATCTCATCCTTAATGCGTTGCGACAAATACGGCGTCACCAGGTCCAGTGTGCTGTTCTTCAGCGTGAGCAGGGAATACGCCTGGAAAGTGTTGTGAATAAATGAATTGCATCAGAGAAAAAGGACTGTAGTACAGGGTGCGGCGTGGGAACTTACTCTTTTAAAAAAATCACAAAGTAAAAAGTATTAAAGATAGCGTTTTAATTCTTTCTTTTTTACAAAGAGCTACATTTAAAGTTTCGTTGGGTTTACTTACAAGTTTAATTCTTGAATATTACATCTTGTAGGTGACCTCCAGGAAGGACCTGGTTTTTGTTTCCACACACTGCCTGTATTCATAAAAGTATTCACCCACTGAACGATTGATGTACGACCAGGAACACGACCAGTGGGCGCGACATTAAACTGCCTCCTAAACGCACGCTGGGTTGCAACGATAGGCCGGCCACTAGAAAAGTACACAGAGACTGCGAACGCGCGCTCCTCTCTCGACCACTGCATGGTCGCAACTGAACTGAGTGGACGAAAAACTTCATAGCCCGCGCACCATATTGCGCATGGCGCCACCTTCCTAGGACTAATGGCCGCCACGTGGCGCGCAATTCAAATAAGTAAGTTCCCGCGCCGCACCCTGTATAAGAGCTTCAAAATGTTAAAATAAATGATTGGATTAAAATCAACAGCTGTATGAACACACAGCAATATTTTTCAGAAGCGAGAGAAAAGGAACCAACTTTATGGTTGCCAGGGCTACGAAAGTTATCAATATTAACGCATTATTAATTAATTGAAGAATTTCTTATTAGTATAATGTTGGTAGCCGAAACGCGGTTGAAAACTGGAAATTCTGTTTTGAGCGTTATTTGAAGGAATGATAAAACTGTAGTTGTTACAAAGTTGGATGAGAAATCAATTCAGAAGCGATAGTTATAAGCGATCAGAGAATCTAAACCACATGCTCAAGTTAAGAGATACAACTCTCTTGGAAGTGGTTGGCTAAACGCTAAAGAGATTTTATCTTCACAGATGAAAATCATGCAATGGAAAAACTCGCATGAAACGTAGATGACGCAGAAAGGCATCACGATTTTTTTGTCGTATTTGATATACAACGAGACTTGAGCAAAAATTTGAAAGCTTCAGCGGTGAACAGAATAAGAATGTTGTTCTACTTGTGTAGACGAACAAATGCAAAGTTTTAGTGAACATAATGGGGAATATAAACTAGTTGTTCGTCAGTAAATTAATGGGTTGACTCACGTATCAATTCTATGCTCAATGATCTGTGATTTACTTCACAGCTGTACTTTACTGAACCAATTATTTCATAATTTTAAGATAAATCTTGTAAAGTTTATTCACAAAAATAATCATTCCTTTTGTTTCTAATGAAATATATTAGTAATGGATTTATTCTCCTCAGATGTCCTAATAAAAAAAGATCCTGTAAGAAGGGGACCTTGCAAGGGGATGTATTGCTCCTGTAAATATTTAAGTAGTTATTTCTCGTCTAGGTTTTTAGTCACCACTGACGTGACCTCGCGCAGGGGTCCGTAATGTTATACCATTCTGATTTTTGTTTCCGCCCTAGAGGTACGTGTTTTTTTAGTCGTGTTCATTTTTGTGCCAGTGATGTTAACTGATGTCTATAGTGATCGTGAATATTTCTAGTTATGTTGCTTCTTTATTAATCTTATATGATCAGTGTTATATTTATGCGTTGATTATTGTATTTTGTTTCGTTACCCAGTTAAAATTTAAGGCCGTGGCGCCGTTGTTTATCGGCGTGGAGGGCGATTATGAGCGCGCAACGGCAGATTGGCCGCTTCTCCCAAACCTCGGCGATATTGCGCTCGTCGGCGGGAGGCGATGGACGGGCCGCTCTGCGACCATCGGCGATAATTTGCGCGAGACTTTAAAGTTGTTTACAAATGAGGGGCCGCCTGCTACTTACGACCATGTTTCGGCTGCTATATATATATAATCGATTCCTCAATCGAACACGTGCGTGCGTAAGTTGGTGTTCGAACCTAAACTTAAACTTTGACATCCACTCCTGTTGAACAAAAGACCGTTGATGATATCGTATACCGATGATAGTCCTTAGCTCCCTTGGTATCCTTAGTCTTTAGCTCCCTTGATATCCTTAGTCCTTAGCTCCCTTAGTGTCCTTAGTCCTTAGTATGTGCTTTGGCAGTCCCAGGCCACGCAGGACCTCACCATTCGGTCATATACTCGTATTCGCCTCAAATCTACCTACCCTCACTTTGAACTCACGCTTATCTCTCACGTCACAATCACCTCGAACTCACGCTCATCTCTCACCCTACCCTCCCCTCGAACTCACGCTCATCTCTCACCCTACCCTCCCCTCGAACTCACGCTTATCTCTCACCCTACCCTCACCTCGAGCTCACACTTATCTCTCACCCTACACTCACCTCGAGCTCACGCTTATCTCTCACGTCACACGTACTCACCCCGTAGTAACGCCACAGGTTGGACGGCAGGGCTCTAGCCTCGTCCATGGACAGGGAGCTCAGGTTGCCGCGCGTCAACAGTTCCTTGAAGGAGGCGTTGAAAGATGCGTTGTATGCTTCCGAGTTTAGTAGCCGCGACATCCTGCGGCCATTATATGGTTTACACTAGGGTTCAGTTATACAGGGTGTCCCAAAAAAAACGATACCCAACTTTGAATGGCTGTAACTCAATAAGTAATAGAGTTACAAAATTTTGAAAGGTCAGAATTTGTTCCCTATGTTTTTCTGCATCTCTCCACCAAAAATCAGACAGATCGATGTAGTCATAAGCGTTTGATAGAACTTTCAGTGACATGTGCTAAAATCGTGCTTGCGCAAAGTTTATGTGTTAGTCTGTTAGAATGTTTCGCACATGCATAATTAACTGCACGCTACCACTCATGTTTGAATGTTCCTCTTTGGCATCCAGTTCCCCCACTCGTCGCAATGTGCAGTCATCTTCAACACCGCTCCTGTCACCATTTGACACGTTCACAGTTTCACACTTCCGACAACTTGTTACTAGATGGTCAATTCTCGCCATGTGTTGATTAGTCTCTCATTAAACTGAGACCTGAGAGTCTAGTTCAAATAAAACGTTGGCATAGCGGTTATCACTTCGATGCTGTGACCTTTAAATGTTTTTTCAATACATTTTTTCAGCTGCCAATCGTTTCATTCAAAACCTTACTTTTGTTTATGCTTTATGGAAATTAGTATTTGATCATTTTAATATGTCCTCGGCTGTATATCCCGAGATTCTTTGCTTGTACTGTCATACTGGAAATGCATGCACGTTCACATGAATGTGTATGCATATCCAGTATGGTAGTGCAGAGGCAATAATCTCGGCGATATACCGCCGAGGTTTTTTTTTAAATAAATAGTTGGAGGCGGCCATGTAAGTTGCGCCGGAGTTTCATGCACGTTGCGCCTATGATAGAGGCACTGCCACGCGCGGTCAGTCTATGAAACGCGCCGCGGCCGCGTGCCGTTTAAGAGCGAACCGTCGCGCATAAAAAATGAACATTTCGCCGATGATGCGGAGATGTTACTCGAGCGCCCCAACCGAGCGTCTCTACCTTAATCTACCTAAACACGTCGGCGATACCCCTTTGATTTTTGACTGGGTAGTTCCAAACTTGTGTTTTTGTTTTGTGTGTGCAGAAAGGCTCTGAAATAAGGACTTGGTTAGGTTCACTTTGATAGTCGGGCTGAAGAGGACTCACGGTTTTATGTTTGCTTATGTACTCGAAGACAGATAGTTTAAAGTAACTATTTTTGTTCATTCAGTATTTATTCATACTTCTTTTAATAGGAAGAGTTTTATCATCCAATCATACGTTAGTGTTTGGGGCCATCGACGGCTTTACTTTCATATTTATTTATTTAGCGAATAGGCCCTGACAAAATGTACTGAGAAGTCTGTGCGACTAATCCGTGAAATGTACTGAGAAGCTGCAGAGCTGATTGTTTACGGATCATAGATACGAGACCATTCTGTGGTGTGGAAGTACCTTTTCTACAAAAGGATTGGGCGTTTTAATAGAGAAGAACCAGTTCGGGCCTCTGGCCAAAACTCGGTTATGTTATAGTCACTGTCGAAGGAGTATGTCGGTCTGATAGTCGAAGAATAATCTCGCGTATTCACACTTATATTTGTTTCCTCTCAACTATTTACTTAAATTATCAGAACCCTTCACAGTACGTAATGAGAAATGCCTGAGAGGGGCTCTTATCTTTATAACTGACAATAATTGTCTAAATCTTTACTCGATTGAATCGTGTACAATACCGTGAAGTATTGAAATTTTTTACCTTAGCACCCTCGCAGCTGGGTGCTGGTCTGTATTGTGTGTTGTAGTGCGGGCCGTGCGAGGTCGTCTTTGCTTGCCACACCTCATATTTGTTGAAGATTCAGCTATGTAAGTAATCAGTTTGGCTTCGGTCAACAATTTGAAGTTGTAAATCGGTATTGATTTCTTATCGCATACATCATACCCGATGTATGCTGCTCATAGGCTCGAGTAACTAATGTTAAACTCATACTCGCCATCGCTTAATCCTCTTTTCACACAACCCACCTCTACTCATAATCCGCTTCGCACCAACTTCCCACTTCGTACCAACTCCCTTGGTATCCTTAGTCCTTAGTTCCCTTGGTATCCTTAGTCCTTAGCTCCCTTGGCATCTGTAGTCCTTAGCTCCCTTGGCATCCATAGTCCTTAGCTCCCTTGGTATCCTTAGTCTTTAGCTCCCTTGATATCCTTAGTCCTTAGCTCCCTTAGTGTCCTTAGTCCTTAGACATGATTGCCTCTCACCAAAGATTGTCATGATTGCCTCTCACCAAAGATTGCCATGATTGTCTCTCACCAAAGATTGTCATGATTGTGTCTCACCAAAGATTGTCATGATTGCCTCTCACCAAAGATTGCCATGTTTTTGTCTCACCAAAGATAAAAAAATGGAACTCAGTACTCACTGCAGTGAGTGACAGAGAGCGCATTTCTCGCCGACGAAAACATGAAGTCACGGACGGACAGACAGACGGACGGACGGACAGGCGGACATGGCGAGCACAATAGTGCATTTTTTCATAAATGAGAAAATGCGCTAAAAATCAAACAGAGAAAAGAAAACATGTAAAGACAACGTAATGAGTATGCAAAATGATCTTACTAAAACTTTGCGCAAGCACGATTTTAGCACATGTCGCTGAAAGTTCTATCAAACGCTTATGGCTACATCGATTTGTCTGATTTTTGGTAGCGAGATGCAAAAAAACACAGGAAACATATCCTGACCTTCCACATTTTTTTAACTCTATTACTTTTCGAGTTACAGCCATTCAAATTTGGGTATCGTTTTTTTGGGACACCCTGTATAGTTGGAGCTGTGTCGTTATAGTATCATGGTTATATTGGGTTAAATTTATACATTTTTCAAATCCCAGTATAGCTCGTTTTAGAATAGTTTTCATCCTGAATTTTTCAGTTTGGTAATGTAATCATGACTAAAAATATGGTTTACTGTTCTACTATTTATTTCGTTTGTATTTGAAATATATGTGTTAGGCACGTATATAGTAGAGAGACGGTAATATTATCGGTCAATTGGAACCTTTTATTTACCATTTCCCCCCGAATTTAGGTCTAAACATAGGGGGACCTTTCAGCCCAAAATCCAATTTTCTATATTTAGGGAAGGATCGTCTCCAAACTTGGTACACATATGTAAAACAGAATTTTAAGACTTTTTTGTTCATGTGAATTTTTCGAAAAAATGAAAGAAAACGTGAAATTCATAGAAAACGGCCAAAAAGGGGCCAAAAAGGGGGGTACTCAAAAAAGTTATAACTGTTGCAAATCACATGCTACGACATCGAGACACGTATCATTCGATGCGTAAAGTGATTATCTAACGATTATCGGGCCACTTTTTCAATTTTTTCTTGGTTCTCTTTTTATGACTATTTTTTTAAATTGAATTTTTCAAAATTTACCCACATTTCGCCCCCTTTTTTCAAAATATTTTCAAAACTATAACGAAATCGAAAAAAAGTGGCCCGACAATCTCTAAATAATTTAATTGCGAATCGAATGGTGTATGTCTCATCGCTGTAGCTTTGAAACTCCGTGACCATAATTGTGAATGTATATTACAGCCCGACAAAGGCGCGGGAGCATCTGCATAGCACTAAATGTAGCAAGGATACGAAACTAGACGTTGCTGGAGCTCGATTCCACTCGAGGATGCTGGGAGCAAGTGCTAGTGCACCTCCTCGTATGCTGTCTGCGGGGTAACTGAGGTCGAGGTGCACTTCGTGTAGACGCTCTATTTAAAGTGTTTGGTAGTTTATTACTTCCATAGGGATTTGTTAAAGAACCTTGCACCCGCCCCCCTTTTGGGATCTGTACTGAACGCATAGCTCAACGTACAGAGATGGTTTTGGTACCGTCAAATGCGTCAGAAAAGCAGTTTTAAGATGAGTATAGTAACTGGAGAATGGCTTAATTGGCCGCTTTACGTCAGGCGATTTACTTTATATTGAAAGGCCGTGTAATTACTCCCTTGACTTTACTGAAGGGGGCCGGACACCCGCCCCCCTTTTGGGATCTGTAGTGAATGCATAAATCAACCTACCGAGATGGTTTTGGTACCGTTGGATGTCAACTTTAAGATGAGAATGTCAGCTTTAATGGATGTCAACTTTAACTCAGAATGTCAACTTTAAGATGAGACTAAAAACCGGAAAACGCCAAAATCCAAAATTTTGCCGTGAAAGGTCCTCTTAACAAGATGCAGATTTTGGATATTTTTCACTACCTATTTTGCAATTTAAATGCTCATCATATCTTTATATAGAGTTATAAGGTTATAATAATCCATCAATCACAATTAAATCTATGTTTTGTTCACTTACTTTCAGTTACATTTTGTGACTTGCTGAATTATTTACCTATTATAATATTTTTATAACCTAATATTATATACGTTTTTAAATATATTATATTATTAACCCTTCCATCTCACTATAGCCTTGGTTCACTTCAGACTGCCGGACACGTGCCAGGAATACTTCAGTCACGGTCCGTTCTCTGCCAAGTGCATCCCTACCATACATACCAGTTGAACTGGGGTTTGTGTTACTAGAGGTACACCCTCTAGTAACACATACCTACCAGTTGAATAGGTATGTATGTTGTTAAAATCTGGTATGTTGAATCTGATATAATCGTCAAAAAAATAGTTGGCAATTATTTAGTCACCTCCCGGTCAAAATATCTTAAACCTTGATCGTGGCTGGACCTTGCCTGGCATGGCAGCCGGCAGGTGCCTTGAACGAATGGTGTGAAAATTATTGCTTCTATAGAAATTCATTGAAGAATTTGGTCTGGACCGTGACTGGCACGTGCCGGGGCAGTATGGTGCGAAGCAAGACTTAATGATATTTCTACATGCGCTGTTCGCCAAACATTTGACACTCGCACTCGCATTGTGGGATTTTAAATTCTTTTTTATAATGTGAGACATGATTTATGTCATGATAAAAGTAATTATTTAAAATAAAAATATTATTAATTAATCTATACCAAAAAAGTTCTGTCAGCAAGGCCAGGAAATCGATGAACAATCGGGGCGCTCTTGACAACGGGTAAACTTCGCGCCGCTGCGTCTTGGTTACGGTTGACCTTGTCGTAGCAAAACAGTGTCCCCGCTCCGTGCGTTTCAAGAAATTTACATTGTTTATACGCCATCGAAAGGTTCTTAACTTAACTAATTTAGTATGGCACTGCTATGTGTTTGGATAATTGGAAGTAAATTATTTCGTGGTACAACGCACATTTCGACAATCTTCGAATTTTTCTTCAACAGCTGAAAAAGTTTTTTCTCGTCTAATCGACCGCTTCACATCAAAACATTGATGTTCTATATCACTATATATCAATTCGCAATGTCAGTAAGGATTGAATGGCTTTCAAAAATCTTGATCCTAATTTATCAAGAAAAGTTCACATAAAATAGGTGTTTACTGTTAAAAAAGTTTGAGCTGTCGATTCAAGAGGGTGTGTTACCAAAAATTCAAGATGGTACCAGAAAGCGAGAGAGAGTACTTTTCAGACAATGTGACACTGTTAATCACATATCAGAAACAACGACAGAATGGTTATTATAGTTTATAAACTTTAACAATAACAGACCATCAATAAAATATTTCGTGTTTGAGGATAATATATATAATGGAATTCTACGGAATTTTAAATATCACCGAAAGTGCAAAAAGTGACCAATAAATTGAGAAAAATACGCGAATAAGAGTGGAACTAAATTCTGGCATGTTTTTATACAGCAGTAATTTAAACTTGGAATAACAATAAGTCCTAGCTAGAAGGAATGAAAACGGTTGCGCACTTTCAAGAAATAAAATCGGTTGTGCACTTTCAAGAAATAAAAACGGTTGTACGCTTTCAAAAAATAAAAACGGTTGCACACTTTCAAGAAATAAAAACGGTTGCGCACTTTCAAGAAATAAAAACGGTTGTACGCTTTCAAAAAAATATGAACGGTTGCACACTTTCAAGAAATAAAAACGGTTGCACACTTTCAAAAAATAAAAACGGTTGCACACTTTTAAGAAATAAAAACGGTTGCGCACTTTCAAGAAATAAAAACGGTTGCGCACTTTCAAGAAATTAAAACGGTTGCGCACTTTCAAGAAAAAACCCGTTGCGCGCTTTCAAGAAATTAAAACGGCTGCGCACTCTCAAGAAATAAACGGTTGCGCACTTTTAAGAAATTAAAACGGTTGCGCGATTTCAAGAAATAAAAACGGTTGCGCACTCTCAAGAAATAAAAACGGTTGCGCATTTTCAAGAAATAAAAACGGTTGCGCACTCTCAAGAAATAAAAACGGTTTCGCATTTTTAAGAAATAAAAACAGTTGCGCAGGTCCGTATTGAATTACGGTAAATTATAATAATTATTATCTCACACTTTGCCCTGCGCGCCCGTAAGCCATTTCTGAATCTCCTGCTGCAAGTCCCACTGCGCGTTGACGCTCACCACCGCTCCGACTTCAGGCCGAGAAACAATGAATAGAAATTTTAAGAAGTTCAAGTGTCAGTTTGTTAAGATCAATTTGAAATTATATGTAAATGCTGGAGAAGGTTCTTAAATAATAGAGATAATCAAGTAACGATTAATGAACACGCTCTGAATTTCAAAGACGACGTAAATTGAATACGCGTATAAGTGAGTACAAGTGATCCCACCATCGGTTAATTTCTGCTAAAGTAACTTGACCCGTTGCTTTCTATACTTTTTCTAGTAACACCTACTCACATATGCTACACCATCTATAGTAACACCTAGTAACATATACTATACTCCTCTAGTAACACGTAGCAACATATGCTATACTCCCTCTAGTAACACCTAACATTATGTACTATACTCCCTCTAGTAACACCTAGCAACATGTACTATACTCCCCCTAGTAAAGACAAGATTCGGGGTAAATGGTTGTGGTGACCCATGATTTGAGCTGTTTATGCAAAGTGTGACGATAGGCCTATTATGCTATCTACTACTATACTCCCCCTAGTAACACCTAACAACATATGCTATACTCCCTCTAGTAACACCTAACATTATGTACTATACTCCCTCTAGTAACACCTAGCAACATGTACTATACTCCCTCTAGTAACACCTAGCATCATTTACTAAACTCACATATAGTACATATAGTAACACATATAGTAACGTATAAAACATAACTACATAAAATATTCATTTCATATACGGCTTCATGATATCCTCCATTCAAAGCTGTGTCTAGTTCATATTAGAAATTAATATGTAATTCGAAATGAATTTATGAATAAACATATTCGGAATGAATTAATGTGCTTTTTACATGCATTGCGTTATCTATGTTATTAAATGGAATCTTGAAGAATCCCATGGGTTATCTATCACAAATGACGACTTCCACGCATATTTTTATTGAATCTCCTGTGAAATTCCAGCCCAAAATCTACATATAGTTCTTTGGAGTTCTCCTGGATCGTTTTTCCTATCGCGTACGCGATGCAGAAACTTCATTAATTTTTGCCCATAGAAACTGACGAAGAAACCAGATTCCTACACCTCACCTGACAGGAGAAGCAGCGGCGGACAGAAGGAGCGCATCTGGAACAGAAAACTCATTCATTGCGAACATGTACATTGTTCGTATATTTTTTTTAATCTAATTTTTTTTTCTAATGATAACCTAGTTTTTCATATAAATAAAAACTAGGGTTAATTAATTAGAATTTCAATAATTATTTGAACATTCTTTAAGTTATCATCATGCACGTGCTATGTTAATGATTAGAAATGGTTTATTATGATTTAGCTACTTTTTCAATTGATTCGCATGCATTATTAATAATATTCCGACATGATAAAATTACAATTTTGCTTGATAAATAAAAAAAAATATCTGCTGTATAGTTCGGACCTATCTCTCAAGTTCTAGTGCTATAAATACACGAGTGGTAAGCGAGCATATTCGTACCACCATAAATAAATGTTTTGGTCACACTGAAGTAGATACAAAACTCTAGGCCATTGTGTTGTATTCTGAAAGCAATGACTGATTTCGATTGATTTTTCGCTGATTAAAACAGTCTTATATTATTGGCTGGATATTCTTTGATGATGATATTGGAAGTAAACGTGATATTGGGAATAAAAAAAAATAACTGAGAGTAAGTTTTAACCACGTAAGGATAACATCCACGTCCTTAAAAACTCTTCCCTTTATTAAAAGTGCGTCATCGTGGAAAGCTTTAGATAATTTTTGGTAGCAAGATCAATTTGTTTAATAACTTTTGCACAATACTTAATAAAGAAGGTACAAAATACAGAACTCTATCTTCTTTTTTAAAAAATGTCCCACAAAATCAAGTTGCTTAACATTTATTAAAGCTCCCAGAGATAAAGGATATATTTATTAATAATTAGGTGATTAACTTAATCAATAATGAGACGATATTTATTAATAATATTACGTAAAAATTTAGCAATGTCGACGAAAATCTGAAAAAAGCACAGAAAAATGTCAATTTATATGAAACTGATTAATCAGGAATTTACACGAAATCTGCAACAGAATAAACGAATCGATTGTATACAAATGAATATGCTGAAATAAACCCAAAGCAGTTCCTACACAAATCGCATTATCCTCTAAAAAATTGACGCATTGTCAAGTTAGACAAAGAACCTTGAACCTTCACCTTGTGGGCCGCAGGTGTAGTTGCTGAACTTTTTCTTTTTCTTATTTTTTTATAGGAGAACTGCAGAAAACTAGTCAATGACAATGAACTCTTACCTTAAACAAGGTTTAGTTGGTGCCTAACGGTTACCAATCTGAGAGGCAGCAAAACGTGGTAACGGGAACAGTGAAAATGCCAACAGTTGCTGAACTTGGTACATACTGGATTGCTGTTGGCTAGTAACAGAAGCCAGTGTTTACTTCCTGAGAAGTTATAGTCTCTCCATGGAAAACTTGGACCTTTTCCGACAACCACGCAGGCCCAACTGATGACTGTTAAGGCTGCTTTAACTTAACAGCAAGTTCAGGTATGTTTGGAAATACATTGTTCACAGCAACAGTGATTGTTTCCTGGATACAATCTTGTTCCGGCATTGATTCGTAGCCGCTCATCATGCGTTTCGTGACAAGACCGCGTTCCGTGAACTCCTGTCACGATTATCCCAGCAGGCATTCGCTGGTTGAATCGACGTTGAAACAACTACCTATATATATATATATATATATTACGACGTTGAAGTCGGGGTGAAAAAAGGTTTAGAATGAAAATGGAAGTAACGTCTTTCATGAAACGTCGTACTGACGTTACTATGCAACGTTGAATCAATGTTTCTACTACGACATTGCTACAACGTCTAATTCTCAGGTTGAATAAACGGTGAAGATCCAACCTTTTTCGCGACCGTAGCAGGATTCGAACCCGGGATCGCTGGGGACCGCGCGACGCCTAGCAACCTTGACCACGGCAGCTCGCGTGCATGAGCAATAGAAACGACTAAAGAATTGTTCTGCTCTTTAAACATTGAAAAGCATTCTCGGGTTATTAATCGTACACTCTTATATATGAATATCATTCAATGTCGGTGTGATAACATTAGTTCCATGCTGGTAAATAGCTTAACATTCAATGTACCGATATTGACCATTCTTCAACGTTGAAATAAAGTTATTTTGTGTCTCTTCTAGTGTTGGCCAGATTTCAACGTTGATTTGACATTTAATTTTGATTGTTCAGCATTTCCATATGAAATCCAAACTGATTCAACGCTTAAAAATGAATCAACATTAAACGTACCAATAACGACGTTATTTCAACGTAGAAATAAGGGTGTTTTACGTCGCTTCTAGGGTTGTTCATATTTCGACGTTAAAATGACGTTTAATTTGGGTTGTTCAGCATTTAAACCTGAAAGATACAATGATTCAACGTTTAAAAACAAATCAACCTTCAACGTACCAGTATCGACGTTATTTTAATGTTGAAATAATGTTGTCTTACGTTCCTTCTATTGTTGCTGACATTTCGACGTTGATATGACGTTTAATTTTGGTTGTTAAGCATTTCAACCTGAAAACAACCAATAATCAACGTTGTTTCAACGTCAAATGCCTGCTGGGACAGTACCTCGTTTAATTACAGTTGCACGTGCAAGTTGATCACCATCGACATTCTATTGATTTATAGTAAGTATCCACAAGACGGCTCTGTAACGAGTATTTAGATTGTCAGATAACATACAGATCAGAGAAATGAATAAAATTTTGTACAAATATAACGATGCACGTTTAACCGTAGTGTGAATCATTTTGACCCAGTTTGACACAGCGTATATCCGTGCTACACGCGTGCTACTTACTCTCCGGTTAAAATTAAATAAATTTGTAATAATTCTGAAAGAAAGGATTTTTTTTTCTGAATTTATTATCTATTTTCCTCAATCGCTCCTTGTCCATGTCCCAAGTGTTCTAGCACTTCTTTAAAATTTCAATAAAATTTCAATAAAAATTTCATTAAGGATAGCATGACTGGTATTTGGTTTATCCAAATGAAGGTATAATATGAGGTGAAGGATGAGGTTAATAATTTAATTCTAGGCGTAACTATGAGGGATTGAACTGATTTATGCCATAAAAATGTCCCATCGCTAATTGACCCATTATTGCTGCAAATTAAGTAATGGATGAACTAACCAATGACCCAAACTACTCGTGAAATAGAACATTTATATGCTAAGGCGGATAAAACTTCGCAAGAAAAAGATGACATCTACATGTATCAAGAAGTCAGTCGCAAACCTGTGTTGAATCAATAGATAAGTTACACGGTAAGATAGAGCAGTAAAAACTGAGATGTGAGAACATGTCTTTTTGAGATTATTTTACATGGCAACGCTTTGTATGACACACGGCCGTGCTCGTAGGCCGTTTTCGTTGTCCTCCTTACCCCAGTCATGGAAAGTCAGGTCGTCTCCGCCATCGAAGCCGCTGGACCAGTAGAAAGTAACTGTACTTTGCATATGGCCTCTGTTGAGCCGGCAGCTGCTCTATGCTGTTACTTGCTTTTTAGCCAGCAGCTGCTCTATATGCTGTTACTTGATTTTTAGTCAGCAGCTGCTCTATGCTGTTACTTGATTTTTAGCCAGCAGCTGCTCTATATTATACACATTTCAAACTACCTATATTGGATGAAACATGATAAATCAATATATACCAACAGTAAATAACAAAATTTGCTCATATCAGATATAACAGCAATACACTTATCAAATGTTCAATAAACCATCATATTCATCATATCAAGTAATCACCAAACAATTAAATACATATGCGCCCCACGTTTTTTGTTTTAGATGTTGTAAAATATTTTAACTGAAATACAAAAGACCAAGAGAATGAAAGCAAACAGAGATCAGTAGCAGCCGAAAAATTATTCTTTACTTTTTAGTCCACATGAAAAACGTGGTTTTTAAAATTTTTTTTATACATTTTATTTAGCCAGCAGCTGCTCTATGCTGTTACTTGCTTTTTGGTCAAGACGCATGCATGTCTTCGAGGAAGACGTTTGGGCTTCGTGGTCAAGATCGCATCCAGTCGTTTCTTGAATATGTAGGAGATTTACACCATTTATATCTATATCATTTATAAAGGATTATATTTATACTACTTATTTATACCATTTATAGAGGAGAATCGCTAAGAGACCTTTAGAGAGATCTTTACCCTCATATAATGCTTTTTGTAATAGTCTGAAAACCTAATCGCATTAGTGGTTGGGATAAATCAAACAGAAAATTATTCTGTTTCTAAATAAATATTACAAATTTAAAAAGTAGTCATATTGCTTGGTTAGCTGGTATTAAAGATTTTCTATGGATGATATCTTTTTTAACGCAGCCTGTTTGTTACTTTACATTTATTGTATTTCTACTTATTTGTCTTGAAGACAAAATCATGACAGACTCGTCTGGGTTGTAGATATATTTTTGAGTACTCTTTGTATGTTTGGAATGTGGAAATAATTGGTTTGGTGCTTATGTATTGGAAAGAATTTTTGGCACTGAGGAACGGGGGATAATGTTTAGCGCTGGTGTATATTTGACACTATTGAAGGCGAGAGAATGTTTGGTACTCATGAATGCGGAACTGTTTTTAGTGCGGATGGATTTGGGAAAAATGTTGAGAGCTGGCGAATGTGGGAAATTTGTAGGCGCTGTAGAAAGTGAGAAAATGTTCATTACTGTATGAGTGATTCTTCTCCACAGGAAGTGAGGCGAATACTGTAACAAAGAGATGAAAGTATTAGTAGTAAGTCATTAGTTTGATGAATTTGAATCGTAATTAATCCAAGAGCTTGAAAGAAAAAAAAAAACTATTAAATTCATCATACATTCACCGACAAAGTTTGAGAGAACTTTTGTTTTTTAATTCTTTTCCATCAATAGATAGAAGCCAAATCAAAAGTCAAATTTTGACCGGTGTGTGTTCATTTAGTTTCTGAGTCAGAAAATTTACACTGATATAAATTTGGTTTACGGTACTGGTTTTCTTAAGACTTTTGCGCTAATAATGGAGCTGGACTCAATAAATTACTTCAATCAAGATATAAATGAATTTACTCGACGTTTTCTTCGATTTCAAGACCTTGGTTAACCACCTGCAATAAATATTTAATTTCTTTGCAAATGATTGCTACCATAATTATCACCAATTATTTCAACTGGTATTGTAAAAGGGGTAATATTCTTCGTCCGTTTATTCACCAATTATACTTGGACAATGATTTGCCTTTTTTTCTATGTACTTATTTTAATCTTCTGTTTAGATCAGGATATTCAGAATACCACTTTGGTTATCAAATGCCCCTTCCATTTCACTACAGGGAAAGGGCGTTTTTTTTAGTCCGCTCTCAGATGCGGCCGAGCCTGTACAGGTAGGTATCAGGACCCTAACACGAGCGCGTCACGGTGGCATCAGAATTAACCGGATGCTAATTTACGCCCTAGTCGACCCTAAAGCGTCACTGCCAGAAGCTGCAAAGCGCGTAATTTGCTTAGTAAACACGGTCATGATGCGGACTGTTGAGAGGCAATGCTATGGAAAACTAACGTGTGGTTTTATAAATAGATTTATAAATTTATTTTCTATGGGCTGCATATTCTGGAATGCAAACTTGTTGCCTTCAAATATACCTTTTACAAGGGAAACAAAGAGCAGTGTGTTATTTTTATCTTTATTTATTTACTTTAGCAGGGTCTTAATTTTATCACAGGAGGCACAAGTGCATGTTGGTGATTTTATTTATTTATTTCGACGTTAAGGATACAACCATGTAACAGGTTAGGCATGATGGCTACAAAAAAATAGTAAAAAGTCTAGATACCTTTAAGAAAATTACTTATGACCCTGGTTTATGTCGTTTTTTTTTTGTGGAAAACAGTATATCGGTAGTATTATAACTTATCCGTGTAATATTGATGTATAAGAAATTTTTTGCCTTTTCCCTATGAAATTGTGCAAAATTGATGAAATACACAAACTTTGTGATAGTCTTACTATATGAAACTGAATCCCTACCTCTTAGGTACTCGGCTAGTAGTTATGCCCATACAGTTCGAGGAGAAGCAATAGTTTTCACGGGACTCATCTTATTATTCAGCGAAAATATTATCTAAAAATTTTTTGTTACAATAGCTTCCTTTGGTAACACGAAAATGAACGTTATTCTGGATATGATTGATAAAACAAAGGTCGGGCATCAATAGCGAAACTTTTTAAAAAGCATTTACGTCGCCCGCGGGGCCACTAACAATGTGCAAAATAGAACAACTGGTCG